TTGTATCATATCTCTATATTTTAGAAATAATAGAATTTCATCGTGCCTCCGATCAAACTGTTTATAATTACTCCTCTCCATCCAAAGGTTGCGTGGAAGAGATCGCTTTTCGCGATAAGGTCGCCCATTGTTTTCTCATTGTGATTATTTCTTGTAATTATTTATATTTATAATAAGTTTACTATTGTAATTTTTTGGAGGAAACAATAAAGAGTATCCATCTGTCTATCTATGATAATGTTCTATCAAGTAAATGTATCTATCTATCTGTATCCATCTAATAATTATGATTATTATGTAATTTTAATTGTAAATTTAAATATATAAAGGTCATCCTTCTTTGTATGGAGTTGCCATTACGAAAAAATTGGTTTTATATAAACACCATTCGAAAATTTACACTAGCAATTTGGAACTCCGAAGGGAATATGGGTTTTATGGACCGTAAATTTTTATGGTCGCCATTGATTGCGGTTAAAAATTTATATTTTCTCTTAGACTTAAAAAAAGGAATACGTATATTAAATAGGAAACAAAATTTTAAGTGCAAATAATCTTTGATGAATTTGATGAAACTTAAAGAGTCAGGGGGGAAAAGAGATTGTTAGAAATGGGTTTTACATCGCCATTGCCAGCAATATTATTAGAACGACCTCCACTTGGTTCCCCCGGGTAACTTTCTTGGTTAATTTTTGAATTGACTTAGCTGATCTAATTTTATCTTCACCTGTGTCTTATTGGTGCCCCGCCAGCGTATATCGATAGCGCTGGGGGGTTACCATCGTTACCCATTAAAAAAAGAAAGAATTGCTGGTATTTTTAACCAACTTAAAAAATAAGGGGATACTTAATTTGGCTGTATTTTTTATGTTTGTTACCTCATAACTCCGTCAGTTGTAAACCGATTTAGATTTTTTTTTATCTGAAAAGATATACTTACAGTTTGATTCCATAAACTTTTTATTTACATCAGTTCAGGAGTTTAATTTTTAAATCAAAATAACTAGTTTTGTCAAAATTAAAGTCGGTTTTTTTGAAAAACACAATCTTAAACTATTAATATAATATATATGAAATATTCTATCTTTTATTAATGTGTGTGCGTGCGTGCGTGCGTGCGTGCGTGCGTGCGTGCGTGCGTGCGTGCGTGCGTGCGTGCATGCGTGCGTGTGTGCGTGGGTCTTTGTATGCATATGTGAGTGTTATGTATATGTGTGTGTATTGTGTGTGTGCGCGTGTGTTACGTGTACATATATATTCACGATTGAAGTTTTTGCGGAGTAAAATAAACTTGTGAGGTGCTAATGTTGGCAATACTGGGGGCCGTTGTTATTATTTGATTACAAAATGTAAACAAATGCTCAGTTCAAATGCGCGAGGAAGCGTTAGTGGTAGTTATCGTGTGCAAGCAGCCGCGCGGTGTTTGAAGCAATTTCCTGAAGGAAAGGCACCCACTTAAGTAAATAAGACTTGCATATGTGGAGACGTTAATCGTATGTTCGGACCACGAGGTTATACGTGTAGAGGGGACGTGTATTGATAACTCGAGCAAAAGATATTTGTGTTTTTAGAACACATTAGAAAATTCGTGAGAACGTATATTGATGAAAATAAATATTGTTTTTTTACAATACATTTAATAATAAGTAATCTATTGTCCTTTAATAGTCATACTAATTTCAGTACGTAAATTTCAGTATTTTTTATCATCATCATCATATCAGCGTTTAACTGTCCATTGCTGAATATAAGCCTCCCTCATGGGGAGTTTTGCTAGTAATTACCACGCTTGGCAGACGGATTGGCAACCGCAGTTAGGCTTAGGAGATGTTTTAAGAGGGACGCTGCTGGCCATCTCTTGCCCTCCCTTAGTCGATTCTTACGACACCCACGGGAAAGGAACAAGTGGCCTATTCTATGCCGGGACCATACAGAGAATAGTATTATTAAAAGTAATTAATTTATTTACAGATAGTCGTATTTACATATTTGATACTCCAAATAATAAAGATACTATTGATGTTCTACTTGATGAATGATGATCTATGTAATTATATAAAGTTGATCATGTCAACCTGCCGTGTGGTCCCGGCATAGAATGGGCCACCCTTTCCTTTCCCATGGACGTCTTAAGAGAGGACTAAGGGAATTAATAATCGAGGCTTGGTCTGTAGCCTTTTTTAAACATAACCAAAGTCTAACCGTGTCAACCCGCCCGCCAAGTGTGGCAAATACTGAAAAAACCTCTTTATTGGAGAGGGCCATGATTAGCAGTAAATATTTTCATCTATTTAACTGGGTTTTTAAGTTTATCAACTAAGATTAATTATAGTACATTATAATGTCAGCTCCAAATAATAATACCCCGTGCATTCCACTTACAGCGGATATTATATTCTTGAGGAACTTTGATGGTATTCTGTTAGAGTAACTAATGCTTGTTTTAACAGTTATCAGCAAGAAGCACTCGTCTTGTGACACATATGTTATTTGAGTGAAATTAATTATCGATGGTTAACTGTGAATACCTTCTAACTGACTTTTACAAAATAGTTGTACAGATTTTTCTTATATATATTTATTTATTTTATTTACTACTTTATTGTACACACTAATGAAACTAAACTAAACATAAAAATTAGACAGAATAATTAAATATAATTTACTTAGGTAACTACTGTTTTCTACAACTTAAATGGTCGCGTACAACGCGGTTTCAGAGATGTTTTCTCCCACGAACACTCGGGTTATGGAATGAGCTCCCTGCCGAGGTTTACCCAAGAGACTACAGCATGGGGTTCTTCAAACGGGGGAGCAAAGAGGTTTCTTCAGGGTCGGCAACGCGCGCGTAATACCTCTGGTATTGCAGGCGTTCATAGGCTACGGTAACCACTTACCATCAGGTGGGCCGTATACTTGTTTGCCACCTCAGTGGTATAAAAAAAGGGAAATAAACATTATTTACATTATAACAACATCATTATTATTATCAGCCTTGATAATAATCCACTGCTGAACATAAGCTTCCTCCTTGGGAATTTTTCCAGTAGTTGCCACGCTTGGCAGCTGATTTGGCAACCGCAGTTAGGCTTTGATGATGTTTTAAAAGGGACGCCGATACCCATGCCTCGACCGTTATTTCTCTTAGTCGACTCTGACGACACTCACGGGAAAGGAATGGGTACGAGTATTTAGACAAATTTATTTGGAGAATTTATATAAAAGCCCTTTTAAATCGTCATTTTTATTATTCTACTACTGGTTTCGGAATATTGTTATTTGTTGAGAAGAATTTCTATTAACATATGTATTTATTTAAATGTACTATGTTCTATTAAATGTTCAAAAACCCGTACGTGATCTATTAACATTATACATGTTTGTCATTTAAGTAAATATTAAGTGTGTAATAGGCATTGTCCAATAAGCGTTTCTTAATAACAGTTTTAAATTTATTAAAAGGCAGATCCAAAATATTCTTCGGTATCTTAGTATAACATTTAATTCCCATGAAATACTTATTAATTAATTTTTGTAATATTATAAACGATACTTCACTTTAAGACACGGCTTGGTCTTCAACCAAGCTAGCATCGGACCAAATAGAAAACTCAAAACATAAACATAATAACCCACTAAATAATTTTAAAATGTGGACAGATTCAATATTTTAATCATTTACACAACATTTAACGTGATTCATTGAAATAAAAATAAACGATAAGAGGTGAAAAACTGTTATTTATACCCTGCTACGTTTATAATTTAACAAAAAGCTGTTAATCCATCCGTGACAATGTCGATAGCGGCCGTGGCAACGGGGTTTGTTCGATAAACTGTCTGTGTTTTATGTGTGAAGTGATATGTGTATTTAGGTGTCGATTGTGTATTGTGTTTTTAACTTGTTATTTATTTTAAACTAGTTTATAAACTAAAAACGTATAAACTAAATACTTAAATTATATAGATTGTGTGTCTTCCTAGAAATGCTTCGAGAAAAACGGGTCAACTTTATCATAAAATTTTTCGTGATAAATAGTTATGGGTAATTCTTTTATAACTTTTATGTTTAGTTTGTCTTATAGTTTCTGCGTCTTTTTAATGTGTGTTTAAACACTCATTTTATTACATATCTATTTATCAAATACGTTATGATACATTTTCTGCATAAGTATGTAGGTATATATATATTAATTTTTTTTTAACGAATGATAATGGAATAGTAACCCGGCCTGCGCTAACGGTATACGCTGACGGGGCACCAGTGAGGGGTGACAGGTGAGGATGAAAAGGCAGGTCAGTTAGTCCATCGCGGTGAATACACTTGGAATTCAGCACGATGGTTTCCAGGGGGACCACGGGAAGGTCGACCTGTTAGGTTATATTGTCAGCAATGGGACTGATAATCCGCATTATTAACAATCCCTTCCCCCCTAATTATATTAAATATATTATGTGTATGTTTATATTGTATCAAGTATTACTTTATTTTTCCTCTATCTATCTAAAAATGCACCGCCTACCTATTTCTCAATTTGCCCAACGGTTGTCTGGAAGAGAACACTGTCCAGTGTTAAGTCCGCCAAATGTATATAAAATTTTACTGTGCATTAAAAGTTTAAATAAATAAATAAATAACACTAAGATTGTTATGAAAAGATTGCTTTCAGCAATAAGACCGCCTTACTGTACTTATACAACTGTATCGTTACATTTATTAATTGTCTTGCTCATTCCCTATATTGTATAATGCAAATAAAGTGTACTCATATATTCAATCATAAATTGGCTTCAGAAAGAGTGAAATTGCGTGTCTTTTTTGATTGTATATGCATAAATCATAATAAGCATTATTGTATTTTTTATTAAAAGAATATTCTTTCAAGTTTGTCTCGTATTAATTTTATTATTACTAAAATTTTACATTTTTTCTATATAAATATTCATACGCATTCATTTAACTATGATTTTTTTTTTATTTCAGCGATAATAAACTTTATAGTTAGATGCGAATTCAACATTATATTAAAAAGATACTTTTAAGTATTTTAAATTATTAAACGCAACAATATAACATAATTTATTATACAAAAAATGTCTAATAAAACCTACAATGATTTACTGTGTGAAACATCTGAGATACTGGTCGAAGCCACTCAAGCCGATGAAGCGATTTTCGAAGCGGGAGCAACGGAACGGACAGCACTTCAGCCGTTACTTTCGGAGATTCGTATCAGATATACCGTGCTACTGGCAAGGCTGGATACGGTATACGACCAGCTATTGCAGCCGCAGAAGCGGATAATCGTTAGAAGATTGTTGGAAGGTTGTTTAGGGAGATTGATAGAAATCAAACACGACTTAGTCGAGCTGCATCTTTCAGATTATACTTATGACGATGATGAGGTATGATTATAGTAATAGTTTCTTTTCTACTAAAAGTAAAGAATTTAAACAAAATATGGTTGAATTATATATTGATAATAAATTAATACCATTGACCATGTTAGACGAAGTCAGTTTGGAATAAAAGATCATGGTCATTGCATCTAGTCTCAAACAAACTTAACAGTCTCCAGTAAAAAAAAAATAATATTAACGAGTAATAAAATACAAAATAATCTATTTTTATTATTATAATTGAAGAGTTAAAAAATAAATCAAATTAAATAAAGGAATGTTGCAAACTTTTTGTATAATTTACAGGCCCTTGCAAAACTTCAAGTGACTCCTTTTGAAGCTGAACCAATAGTTCCACAATATTTCATTAGGGAAAGAAAGGAAGAGGTCAATAGTCGTAGACAGTTTGTTATTGATACTTTGACCAAGTTGGGCTATGAACCGCCCAAACCTCAACCATTGGTATTGACTGAACAGCAGGCTGTTCTCATTATACAAAGTCACGAAAGAGCTAGACAAGGAAGATTACGGTAAGAAAAATTATATTTCTTTATTTCGATGTGAGTGTGGTGCCCTCTTGTGTCAAGAATTTCTAAGTTGCCTTAATTATGCTCAAAACCACTGAAGTGAACTACTTAATTTTTAAATAGTATAAACATGAATTTGAGAAAAAGAGAAGAGAGCCAAGTCAAGTTGACGGAACGATCTGTTAGTGCATTTTTAAAGAAGGACGATGAAATTGGTCCATAGTTATCGTATGATAACGTTAATTAAATTTACTTCTAGATATTTATAATAAAAATATTAACCAAAATACACTATGTTTGTTTTTTGACAGAGGGCAGTTCATGAAAGAAATTCGCCTTTTAAAAGAAAAAGGCAGAGACCAAAAAAGTGAAATGTCTGCTTCTGCTGCCACTGCAATCCAACGAGTCTGGAGAGGTTTTATTGCTAGAAGAGAGACCAGAAGGAGAAAAAGAGAAGAACAATTACTTATTGGTATGGATTTGCCACCTTATACACCGTCATTAGCGCTAAAAAGAGCTGAAGAAGTAAGTGTTTACTATTAAATACATTTATTGTAGTATTAACTTTTAGTCGCAATAGTGTTCACGTGACTTGGATATCTTTACTGGCCTGGATTAAAAGTAGTTTGGTTTTTTTTTTCACTCCATAAAATATATATATATATATATATGCATAGTAAATTCTATGTGATTAGTTAAGTCGTTAAGGTAAAAGATAACAAACTTCAAACAAATATTTTATCATAGGTTAAAGAGTATCGTCGGACTCTTCAAGCTGAAAGAGATAAAGAATATAAAGAAGCATTAGATACAATAGAAGAACAACTTAGAAAACAGCATGGAGTAAAAATAAATGAGCAAATAGGAGACGAACTTAGAAGATGGATTTCAGAATATTATGAAAGAACCGAAAGATTCCCTGAATTGCCATCAGAAGAAAGTGGGGGTAGTCGGGCTATGTATAGTAGACAAGGTTTGTTTGTTTATTTATGCATAATTATAGACCATAGTATGTCTAATACATAAGAAATAAAATCTATATTTTAGGAACAGGTATGGACAGCGAATTAAGTAAATCTCCTGTGTCGTCTAAAGAATCTAAAAGAAGTAAAGAGAGTAAAGATAAAAAGAATAATAAATCAGAAGAGAACAACAAAGTTAAGGAAGAGGAAGAAGATATAAATATGTATAAGTGTAATGCCTCTGCTTTTTTGAAAGACCTTGTTAATACTAATGAGGAGTAAGTAATTATTGATTATATTCATGTAACTCAATTCATATTTGTTCAATTTGTATTATAAAATTTTTCATAAATTTTTGTACGAGATGTTAGTTTTTGGTTGGTTTGTAATTTTATAAATAGTACGTAATAATTACTTGTGAATAGTTGAAAAATTTTTACATTGGTAAATTTAATGGTAACCAAATTCGTTAGATTTTTTTTATACGACTTAGAATGGCAAACAAGCTGACGGCCCACCTGATGGAAAGTGGTAACCGTCGCCTATAGACACGAGCAGTACCATGGACATAACAGAGTATACTGTTTCGCTTATGATACCCCCAATGCGTTGTCATTCCTGAGGACTCAGGTGTTATTCCTCTTTACCTAGTAAATTCACGCCATATCCCACCCTTCAAACTGAAACACAGCCATGCAAACACAACCGCTTCACGGTAGAAACACGAATGGGACAGAGGTATCCAAGCAATCTACTTTTGTACAAAGTCTCCCTCTGGTTATATTATATGTTATCCTTTAATAAATAAATGTTATAAAACAAAACTGATTAACTTTTTAAAAATAGGTTTGAAGACATTTGGAAATTCAAAGACAACATAGAAGACCCTCATGAGAGATATTACAAAGATGTGGTAGAAAGAGACAAAATGGTGAAAATAGAACAAGAAATCAGAAATGTTGTAGATGAAATGATGAGGAGCGAATTAGAATTACTTCAAGCTGCTTATGATCGCGACAGACAAATAAAGAGTAAAAAATCAAAAAAACCTCAAAAAGTAATCTAATATACGAGCATATTATTAATAGACTATAAACTACTGCGTATTATTTAGCTTTTCAACCGTAATGTAACATCAGTCTTATATTGGTTCTTTGTGAAGTAAAAGATGAGATGTTATGATGTTTATTAGTTATAAATTAGCTTTTGCATACATCTTTGTCGACGTGATTTTCCATTACTTATATATAGTACATATATATGAAATATTAAAAACTGTAAGGTAACAAAAAAAAACTCATTTTCACATGTATGGTATTAGTAAAGATATATTATTAATTATCAATTTAGATATTATAATAGATTTATGTAAGTAATGTATTAATAACAATATGAATTTATTAACAGATTATTAAACATTTTATTTAAACATACCCTTACAGGCACGACGTGGAGGTAAAAAAAGTAAAAAAAAGAAAGAAAAAGATCTAACTCCGGACAGAACAACAGAATCACTCTTTGAAGAATTGGTATCCAATGGAATTATACGCCCTTACCCTCTAACAAAAATAGATGATTTCGTTGGCGAGAAATGTTACGTTGGGTCCCAATGGAGGAGTCAGGGTCAAGAACCAACACCATGTCTTGGAGATATTAGACAGTTGATAAAAGAATACTGTATATTGCCTTTGGGTTCGGAACATGTTAGAATGAACGCACCTTTAGTGAGATCTGTTCTTATTTCAGGTGAAGATTTATACACTTCTATAAATTATACATTTTATTACTTTATTCATATTAGGTTTGTACATATATTTTTTTTTACAATTAAACAGGTCCTTCAGGGAGTGGTAAGAAAATGTTAGTCCATTCTGTATGTACTGAAACTGGTGCTATGCTTTTTGATTTGACTCCAGCCAATATAGTTGGTAAATATCCAGGAAAGTCTGGTCTCATAATGTTAATACATTTGGTCATGAAAGTATCGAGATTATTACAACCGTCTGTTATATGGATGGATGACGCTGAGAAACCATTTGTGAAGAAAATTCCAAAAACAGACAAAACAGATCCGAAGAGATTGAAAAAAGATTTAGTGAAGATTATCAAAGGTCAACTAAACTAACAACTTACTTTTGTTATTGCATCATTTTAAGATTAGTGGCCGTGTGATCCTGGTATAGAATGGGACATTTCTTTCTTACCTGTAGATGTCGTAAGATCGTAAGGTGACTAAGGGAATTTAATGGTCAAAAGATAGGCGTCCCACTTAGAATAATATTCCAAAGCTTAATTGCGATTGCCAACCCTGTTTGATAAGCATATCAACTACTGGGGAAAGTCCCGAAAAGAGAGGCCTATGTTCTGCAGCGAACAAATATTAGTTAATATGGTGATGATGATGATTGTTTTAAGAAAGAAATGCATAAATTAAATTTATGAAATGTTTAAATGTTAACGACATTGATCTAAGAACTTGCTTATAATTCTTTACAGGAATATGTCCAGAGGACCGTGTAATATTTATTGGCACATCAAAATATCCCTGGGATGCAGAGCAAAAATTACTTTTTCAGTGCTACAATAAAATCATCCAGATACCAAAAGCTGATTACGGAAGCATATCGATGATGTGGAAGACAAGACTTCATAGAGCCGGTGCTCTGTCTCCAAGATTAGATATATCCTGTTTAGCCAGAGTTTCCGACTCTTATACTATAGGTAACTTTCAAAATTGAAATGAATTCAACATCGCACGTCTTTTTTTACCTTTTAAATTTTAATCTAGATACTCTCAAACTTTCTTTTTGAATTCGAATTTAATTTTACTATTTTTATATGTATTGTTTCTTAGTACCTGTGTATACATAATTAGGTTAAAGCCAAGTTAACTACTTACTGTATTTACAGGAACACTATTAGCTGCTTTAGATGGAGTGCTAACAACAAAAAGACGTCTTCAATTACGTATACGTGCATTGACTGCCCACGAAGTTGCCGTGCAACTAAGTTCTAGAGAACCTATATATGCTGAGCAGGTAAATTACACTCGTATTTCAATTTTTTTTTTATTTTGGAGGTTTTATATAAGTATAACGAACTAGTCGAGATTTTTTACGCAACTTAGGATGACAAATAAGTCTACCTGACGGAAAATGGTAACAGTCACCTATAGACATAAACAGTACTTTGGATAAAACAGAGTATACTGTTTCGTGCATGATACCCCCGTGGCATGGCAACGCATGGGAGGTATCATGGACGAAACCGTATACTCTGTTATGTCCATGGTACTGCTCATGTCTATAGGTGACGGTTACCACTTTCCATCAGGTGGGCCGTCAGCTTGATTGCCATTCTAAGTTGTATAAAAAAATTCGCAGAAGAACCAAAGTGACCGAAAAAACTCGAAGAATTAGCAAACTGAAGTGGTAATGTTCTACAGTGACAATCCCGTACGGACAAGCAGTGTAGGATGACCCTCCACTAGATGGAGTGATGACCTCAAATGCTTTACAGAGAGTCAGTGGATGCAGGTGGCTCAGGACCTCTCTTCATTGCAGTCTATGGGGAGGCCTGTTTTCAAAAATGTACGGCTATATGGTGATGATGAAGATGATAGCTTGATAACATTTAAACTTATAAGGCAAATATACTTTCGTAGGAAGCTTCAGCCGAAACATGGTGGTATAAGACACCATTAGAGAAAAGAAGACAGAAGGCCATACAAATGCTACTGGAAATGCAGCAGGAAGGCGAAGAAAAAGACGCAAAGAAATAATAATTTTTTTATGTCTAATATTGATCAGTTTAAATTTATATAAACATAATACTATTTTTATAAATAAATAAATAAGATATTTATAGCGGCATAGCGGACCAATTTTTACCAGCGACTTCATCCACGCTTGGGATATTACTGACGGGGATAAAAAGTATTACTACGCCCTTCTCCGTTCTATCTACTACGTGTATATCAAACTTTATAGTGATTAGTTAAACCGTTAAGGTGCTATAAGGTAACAACAAACATACTTTCACATTTATAAAATATTAAAAAGAATCGCCGGGTGGTCCCGGCATAGAATAGGCCACTCCTTCCTTTTCCGTGGGAGTCGTAAGAGGCGACAAAGGGAAGGCGGGAGATGGACAGCAGCGTCCTTCTTTAAACATATTTAAAGCCTAACTGCGGTTGCCAATCCGTCTGCCAAGTGTGGCAACTACTGGCAAGACCCCCTAAGGGGAGGTTTATGTTCAGCAGTGGACCGTTAAGGGCTGATACGATGATGATGTGGATAATAATGAATAAGATTAAATCAAATATTATAAATATAGGATAAAAACATCGGCAGAGGGTTTCTTGTTGCTCTCTGCATATTTTATAAGGAAATAGATATAAATAGGATAACTAGGGACCAAATAAACTTTAATGTTGTTATTGATACCTTCATAGTCAAGTTATAGATACGTTGGTTTGTATAAATGAAGATCAGTGATCCATTCTCGGTTGTGTTAATTTAAGAAATGAAATGAAATAAATAATTTGGGTATATATTTCTGGGTTTGTATTTAAGATATTTATGATTCGGTTTCTTATAACACAAACTGTTTTAGTTTAAAATCGAGGAGGCAATAAGTATGATTGTGTAGTACTTACATGTATTTACTATAAGGGACCAAAAAGTATTTGTAACTGAGAATTTAAGTCATGTATTATTATTAAGGAAAATAAAGTATTTAGAAATACTATTTATTATATTATTGCTATTGTATTGTATTATATTACAGGCACTATTTACTTTCACGATCTTTAAATGATTTTTTTTTGATGGGTGAAAATGGTATGGTAACCCCGCCTGCGCTAACGGGGTACGCTGGCGGAACACCAGTGAAGGGTGATAGATGAGAATGAAAACAGGCCAGTTAGCCCATCATGATGAATTCATCAGGAATTAACCATGATAGTTTCCAGGGAGAACCGTGAGGAGGTCGACTTGGTTGGGTATATTGCTAGTAATAGGATTCTCAGTCTCCATTACTAACAATCCCTTTCCCCCCGGTCTTTAAATGTTACATTCTTATAACATTCAATTGTAGTTGTACATATTTGTATTTTTCACATATTTTGTTATGAGAGGTACTGGCTGCAAACCAGCGCTGTGCAGCTGTACATAGTGCACTGGGACACTCACAGCATCAGTTGAGCCAGTTCCTTTTGCCTAATATGAGACACTTCTTATATATAACATTTCTGTATTTTCGGTTGTAATTATGTGTTTTACAAACTGACAATAAATATTCTATTATATTATTGCAAGGTATGTTTTTTTTTATAAAACTTAGAATGGTAAACCACTAACGGCTATCCTGATGGAAAGTGGGAACGGTCGCCTATAGACATGAGCAGTACCATGGACATAACAGAGTATACTGTTTCGCCCATGATACCCCCCATGCGTTGCCATTCCTGAGGACTCGGGTGTTATTCCTCTGTACCCTGTAAATTAACTGCTATATCCCACCCTTCAAATTGAAACACAGCCATACAAACACAACACAAAAATAACAAAGGCATATGCTATGCAGGAGCATAGAGTTGGATGAAAGAGAATTCAATATACTAGAGGGAGACTTTGTACAAAAGTCGTTTGCTTGGGTATATCTGTCCCATTCGTGTTTCAACCGTAAAGCAGTTGTGTTTGCATGGCTGTGTTTCGGTTTAAAGGGTGGGATATGGCGTGAATTTACAGGGTACAGAGGAATAACACCCGAGTCCTCAGGAATGGTAACGCATGGGCGAAACAGTATACTCTGTTATGTCGTCAGCTTGTTTGACATTCTAAGTTGTATAAAAAAATATTGTGTTCCACAAAAAAAAAAGAAACTGAATTTAATTATGGAAAAACCAGTTATTTTTATAAAATTTCTCTTTTAATATATTGTTTTAGTTTTATCAAATAAAAATTATGTAAATTTATTTACAAGTGACTGAGTTATGAGGTAACAAACAAAGAAAAAATGCAATCAAATTGAAAACTTCCCATCTTTTTGTAGTTTGTTGTGAAACAGAATTATTCATACATAGAACAATAAGTGAAATACAACTATGTTTGGGATATAAAATTAAAAGCAAATCTATTCCGCCGTCGGCTATTCGTAAGAAGTCTCTCTCGGGAAACTTGTAATACTTTACGAAGAAAACCTTCAAAGCAAAAAGGGGTACCTTTAAGAGGATGGCGAGAAATCTGCACCTGGCTGCTTTCACACGGATATTTTGTACGGAGCGAAATTAAAAACATCCGATATTGGAAAATCGTGTTGAGTTTCGATATTTCATCGGATTAAATTGGTGCGAAGTAAAAAATTGTGATTGTATTTTATTATAAAAAAAGTAAATTCAAAAACTAAAACCCGACCATTGAAAAATCATGCTCTAAAAAGTATGAAACTAGAAAATATTCTTATTTGAAATTGTTACGTATAAATTATTCAATATTTCCACATATCAGTTGTTAACTAACCACTGCTGAATGTAGGTCTTCCCCAAGGGGGGGGGGGGGGGCAACCGCAGTTAGACTTTGGTGATGTTTTTTTGTATATTATATTACTAATTATAATTTATTTTTATTTTTAATTATCAGCCTTTAACTGTTCAGTTGGCAGGCGGCAACTGTAGTTAGACTTGATGTTTTAACAGGGACGCTGCTGTTCATCCCTCGACCATTAAGTTTCTCTTAGTCGCCTCTTACGACGGAAAATAATGATCCATTCTATGCCGGAACCATACGGCAAATTAATATATTTTTTTATACCACTGAGGTGGCAATCAAACATACGGCCCATCTGACGATAAGCGGTTACCGTAGCCTATGAATGCCTGCAATACCAGGGGTATTAAGCGCGCGTTGCTGACCCTGAAGAAACCTCTCACTTCACTCGCTTACCAATCACAGTCACTTACCATCAGGTGAACAGCATGCTAGTTTGCACTCTGTTTGTAAAAGAAAAAGATACATGAATGAGACAGATACCCAAGCAGACGACTTTTGTTTAAGTTTTTTGTCTAGTGTTGAACACGTTATAAAAGAATACACGAATTGAGAATCCCATTTTATTTAGACATCGCTTAAGAATATAACTTCTAAGAAGAAAATATTCCACCCACTTAGCAGCAAAAGGATTGCGCATTTTTTGTTACTGGCAAGTGTATAATAAAGAGCATTATTAAAAAAAAAAAAACTAACGGAACTCGAAGTATAGGAAAATCAGCAAAAAAGCAATGTTTTCCTTTCAAAGGCCGACGCTACAAAGGATAACGGCGACGGGTTAGCAAGAAAAATAGAATCAACGTTAGTTGTTGGAACCTTTGTGAGTTTAAGTTTTTTTTTTCTGCTGCCCCTACTTTGTTTATTTTCGTTTGATCGTTTATATATTATTATTATTATTATTTTATTTTTGCTTTGCTTATTGCGAATGACCAAATTTATAATTGAAGTATATTGTCGCGAAATCTATTTTTATAGAAATAACTTTTAGGTACTTTTATTTATATAATGTAATCATTTTATTTTTGAAGAATGTCAAGATTTTGTTTATTTATTTTTTATTTTATAAATTGTGACACAAACATTATTGATAAGGGGCCAAATATATTCTACAATACAATAATTGTTAATGTCATTTATAAATATATATTATATAATTGGGTTCGAAATTAATTACTTTTTTTTATACAACTTAGAATGGCAAACAAGCTGACGGCCCACCTAAACAATTAGTTAATAAGTACTAACATTACAGTTCAGTATTTAACGATGTCAAAATATATATATATATATATATATATATATATATATATATATATATATATATATATATATATATATATATATATATATATATATATATATATATATATATATATATATATATAATTCATGAATAGTTATATATTAAAAATAAAATGAGTAAAAACTTGAAACATACAATAAATTTACCAATTATTGATAAATGATAATTAGTTACTTAAATAAACATTTTTAATCGGTAGGTACGTTTACCGTTTACAATCTCATTTTTAATCTGCTCTTTACTCCGTTGAATTGATAAACATACGCAAATTTATCTATATCATCCTAATTAAGCAAAAACAAATTGTTTTGCCGCGAGACAGATGGCACCTACTGCGTCCCTTCTAAACAGGAAATCTCTTCTGTAGAAACCACAGGTGTACCTACACATATTGAGTACTGCTTCATTCGTTTAAGTAATAAATTTTAAAGTAAATTTGTTAAAATATTTAATTTACCTCCACCATTAAGTTCCTTTATTCGCTTCTTACGATACCCACAAGAAAGGAAAGGGTGGCTTATATATGTCGGGACTATACGGACAAATTAAAACGCTACACTAACTGTGTTTACCATCAGGCTGGCTGTATGCTTGTTAGCCACCAAAGTAGTATAAAAAAATAATTATATCCCAACTTGGATCATACAATACTCATATACTGATTCACGTGGGTAGAACTGTGGGATACAGATAGTATTATAATAACTTTGTTAAACTATTAAATTTAAAGCCCGATTTTAGAAATAAGTTTAGAAAAGAGCACCTCGGTATCCACTCAAATAAATATTATATGATTTTAGAAATATAATTGGGTAACTTTAATAGGGCTAATCTTTCCTGTCATGACGACTTCCATGCGGTCCTCCCTGGGAACGATTGTGATTAATTCCTGGTAAACTCGTCCCGTGGCTAATTGACCTGAATTCATTTTAATAATAGAAAATAGCATATAAATATAAATCAAGACATCCATAGAACATTTTTGGATATATATATATATATATGTACGTAATGTGTATGTATGTCTGTGTGTTTGTGCATGCGTACATGCATGTGCGCGCGTTCCCCTCCCCCTACTCCTCCTTACTCTGTCTTTCTCTCTCTGTGTGTGTATAATTAAAAATTTTATTACTATATTAATACGTTGATAAAAATTTTCCTTGTTGGCGACAGACCTCTTTTGATATAAGTTTACCGTTTTAAATTTTATATTTTGAATATGTTTTTTGATATATTTTTTTTTATTGACTTCTTGTACACGTCATGTCAAGAAAATTACACTGGTAAGCCTCTCTAACAATTATTATTTACAGCCGTCGCCCTTCTCTCCTACCAGCGCCACTAACATTCCAAAAAAAAAAAATTTTAAGAACCAATAAATAAATTTTACAAATTCGTGTAATTAAGTCATTTTCACTTCTGACGTGCAGACCTACTATTTACTTCTTATTTTAAAGTTAGACATATATTTTCATTGAAGGATATTATGAGTGCAATAGGTGCATCATGAATGTACTAGCACCGTCTGACCGCGAATAATTTCACGGTGCGAATTATGTTACTTATGCTATTAATTACGAACTGTCTGTTTGTACTAATTTTGTACAGCTAAATGTAGTTTTGGACAACATAATATTATACTAGGACAACTAGAAATCCAGTAATCCACGATATCGAATTTTCACAATTGTGTAAAACATATGGCGATGTAATGAGGACATATGAGAATTATGACGTCATTGGTATATCACAGAGTATTTTCTGACGTCCATGGTGTTATTCGTGTCTCTCTGTAAAACGACACAGTATTATTATCGTCATATCTGCTGTTATTAGTCCACTGTTAAACATAGGCCTCCCCCATAGACTGTTATAAGGAATGGAACTGTCCTTTTGTTGACAGTTTACAATTAGATTTAGATTTATAATTAGATTAAAAAAAAAAAAATTTTTACCGGAGGGAAACTTTGTACAAAAGTCGTTTGCTTGAGCACCTCTGTTCCATTTGTGTTTCTACCGTGAAGTAGTTGTTTGCAGCTGTGTTTCGGTTTGAAGGGTGGTATATGGCAGTGAAATTATAGGGCACAGAAGAATAATACTCGAGTCTTCAGAAATGGCAACGCATAGGAGGTATCATGGGCGAAACAGTATACTCTGTTATGTCCATGGTACTGCTCATGTCTATAGGCGACGGTTACCACTTTCCATCAGGTGGGCCGTCAGCTTGTTTGCCATTCTAAGTTGTATAAAAATAGATATATAGATAATTTATTTGCATTACATACAGCACAAATAATAACAGTAAAAAGATATAAAAGAATACATATACAAAAATAAGCAGAATA